CTAATTATTTACTTTAACCCTAAAATCTATCTTTCTACCCCTTCTCACCCACCTCCCAACCCTTCAGATTCTCACCTAAACTCCATCAGATTTGTTTCTCATCTTCCATTTTTCCTCACAGTGTGGTGGTGCTTCAAGGTGCTGGTTCAGAGGCGTGAGAGGTTCAGAGGCGTAAAGGTGCGTAACAAAACCCTAAAATATAAATCGTATAATCTTTAAAAGGATGTGAGCATCTGTCAACGGATGTCAACATCCGTTTAAGGGAAAACGGATGTCAACATCCGTCGACGGATATCGACATCCGTTTCAGATCCAAACGGATACCCGACATCCGTTTTTGGCCTGGTTATCTTCTTCCTTTCTCCCAACACACGCACACAGCAAAAAAACGCATAGCACAACACAACACAGATATATATATGCATTGCATTTAAAAAAAAATTAAAAATATTAGCACTAACCTTGTGAGGAAAAATGGAAGATGAGAAACAAATCTGATGGAGTTTAGGTGAGAATCTGAGGGGTTGGGAGGTGGGTGAGAAGGGGTAGAAAGATAGATTTTAGGGTTAAAGTAAATAATTAGAATTAAAAAATAAAAAGGTTATTTGTGTAATTATAAAAGGTTAGTTTTGTAATTTAAAAAATATGTAATAGAATTGGAGAGGTGGAGGGAGAAAATGTGGTGGTGGAGTGAGTAACACCCAAACTTATCAGATTGGAGCAGCCCAGCCCAAAGACAAGAAAAAACCTAAAACCAGTAGATACTTGAAATCACATGAAAAAATCTCACCTATGTTTTGTTTAACTACTTACATATTATAATTTAAAGAACTTTTGAATTATAATAACCTATCTAAAAGTTCTATAACACCAAGAATTTACAGATTAATTCAACTTTGTTAAACATCAAAGCTGATCTTACAAAATGAAATATATTTGAACTATAATAGACCCTCCGTCCAACTTTTCTTAGCAGTCTTTTAAGAAAAACACATTCCATAACATACATCCGAGCTTTTAAAACTAAGTAAAGAGCTTATTAGTTAACTCGCAAAATAATTATAGAACGTACTGCATCTACGTTTTCTTTAAATACAAGTTTGAGTATTTAGTCTTGTTCAATCAACCAAAAAGTAACTATGTTTTATAACTAAGCTAATTCTTTTAATCTCTTCAAATAGCATTAATTCTTAATTAAGAATTAGATTTTTAAGCACATTATAGAGCTTGTTTGATTGGTAGTACAAGTTCTAAAAGTATAATCAATATTAGGATTTTTCTTTTTTTAAAGTCACGTTCCAATCACATTCAAGATTTAAAATAAAATATTGAGACAGTATCGCCCTATTTGCTTTTGGGCAAAGAAACATAAGCAGTATATTGTTTGTTACTGAATATCTCAAATGTTTTTGATTTACAGAAGAAATAGAAAAATATGACAGTAATCTTTATGTGTAGAAACAATTAAATGATTTGGGACTTGGTGAGAATGAGAGCAGCCTAACCTACAAATATATTATTATTTACGGTTACGGTTCAGGGCATCCCAACCTTTGTATAACTTGACTTTATACAAGCATGATACACCACAATTTCTATCCTGCTCCCTGTACAGAGTCAGTCTCCCTAAAACTAACGCTAGTCCTACCACTTGTATCTAACTTCCTATTCCTATGCTCTATTGTCAGGATCAAAAAGGGCAAACACCTCCACCATTCCTTTAACTATCTACCAAGCCTGTTCCTGTACAAAACACCATCTATCTCCACCTTTGAACTTGGGGGAGGTGGTTGGAACCCAGTTGAATGCAGCAAAACTGAATCATGTGGGTCAAATATCACAAGAGGGAAAATATCTAGAGTGGGGAGAAGACGACAATGAAGGGGAAATCTTTGAGTCTGAATTTCTAAACGTGCCGCCTGAGCCGCGTCCCAAATCACCAAAAATATAATCAGCAAAGTCATCCGTACTGGTTGAATCACTCGTGCTATCTGTACTGCAAGAACCTTCGTCAGAATTGCTGCTTATAAGGGATGAATTATCACTTGATGAATCTTCTTCCAAAATCCTTCTCTGGCGGAGAAACTTTGAATAGATAGCATCAAAGGAAGGTGAACCATCTACAGAAGTCAAATTAACTCCAGCACCGGAAACAGTAGATAGTCGTCCCTTCACTACGGCAGTTTTTCCATTGAGTTTCCATTTTAAATCTGAAGATACTATACTGTTCCTGATTAATCTAGGGGCCCTAGGTGAGCACCTACCAGAAAGTTCAGAGAGTCAGGGAAGCATGAAATATGATATAATTAAAAGAAATCTAAGACGGTGACCAATAAGATATCAACCAAAAAATAAATCCATAATCAGAAGGGTTACCTTGCATAGAAAAGCATGTATGCTCCTTTTGCCAAGACGCTTTCCAATTCAACAGATGTCACCTACAAGACAAGTATGATTTCATGATTAAATGAGTTCTAAGCTACATCAGTGGAAAATAGATCAAAAATAGACTCTGTATCTTAATCCACAAACACAATGCAAGTACAAGATTAGTTTTCAATATAAGCAATACAATTGTATTTTTGACACAAATTTGTTTTCAATATAAATAATAGAATCACAGATAATGAGTTGTTTTTAAACAGATCATATAAATACACTAAGATTATGTACTTCAAACTTTATTCAAATATTGCTTATAACAAACTACAGATGGCAATTTCAGCTTATGATAACCAATGGGTAAGGGAAAGCATAAATCCACAATATATATAAGAACCATACAAGTATGCTCTCAGAAATTCAAATAAATGGAAACTTGACATACCACGCTATCATCGACCTTGAACCACCTGCTTTGAAAATTCTTCACATAGCATACATAGTGACCCGAAAAAGTAGTATTCATAGTATCCAGGTGAACAACTACCCCATATAGCCTGTATATAGCCAAATCACTAGTCCCACTTATAAAAGGTGCCAAGTCAAGTATTTCAGGAAACTGGATAGGTTTATTGAGCTTCCCAAATTTTCCTGACTGCAAAACAGCAAATATAATCTTCATACAAGACAGGTGGCAAAACCTTAACTTAAATTTAACACAAAAATACCTTAAATCTCTTTAATGCAATTGTAAGAACATTAGGTGCCTCCAAAACTGTCATCCTCTTCTTGGCCTTCTCGTAAGACTTACACCTGTTTAACATAGAAAAGGAAACTATTTTAGTTACAAAAGCTTAGAAAGGAAAAGATATAAAACTCAAACAATAATGTACTACAAACAGTGTGACAAAGATGACCTCACTTAACACATGAAGTTTTAAAAAAAAACAACAGAACAAACAGCGTGACAATTTTTGGCCAACAGAACACTAGAGGGAAAAGAAGATAAACAAGAAAGCAATGCTCTTTTGGGCAATGAATCCTGAACATGGTGGTGACCATAAAATAAAACAAGATTTTCATTTCATTAGACAGGTAGACTGAAAAAAGCAGAGTTGTTTCATTCTGTGAGCGTATGCAGTCATGTGAGGTTTGAGTACATTACCAAACCTCGAGGAGCTCGGCCTGGAGGAAGAGCACGGCCTTGATGGAGAGCTCAACCTTGAAGGAAAGCTCGGCCTTTATGAAGAGCTCGGCCTTGATGGAGAGCTCAGCCTTCATGGAGAGCTCGGCCTGGATATCTCAGCCTCAAGAGCTCGGCTAGAGGAGCTCAACCTGGATAGCTAGGCTTGGAGGAATTTGGCCTAGGTGAGCTTAGCCTAGGTGAGCTCAACCTAGGGGAGCTTGGCTTGGAGGAGCTCAGCCTTGGGGAGCTCGACCTAGGAGAGCTCGGCTTGGAGGAACTCGGCCTGAAGAGCTCGGTTAGAAGGGAGCCCAGCCTAGAAAGCTCGGCCTAGAGAAACTCAGCCTAGGAGAGCTCGATAGGTGGAGCTCGGCCTGGATTGGTGAGCTCAGCATGGAAGAGCTCGACCTGGAGAGCTTGGCATGGAAAAGCTCAGTCTAGAGAGCTCGGCCTAGAGGAACGAGTCCAAACGGACATATGATACAGTTACTTTAATAATAACAATTACAACAATACAACCTAATTTTTATAATATCTCATTAGATAATAATTTCACTACTTTATTATTTTTATATACAAAATGAAAACAAATATTAAAAAATAAAAGAAAAACTGTGAGTAAGTACGGGTCATTCAATTACTTAATCAAATAAATGACAAAATGAAAACACAGGCAATTGGTTGAATTTCTAATTTAATTGTTTAGCATTATTCAAATTTCCCAACAAAGACCAGGCATACCCTTCTAAAGCTCATAAAGTTTAGCATAACACATACCACGTAATGAAAATGTTGAAGCCCTTAATAGAGATACTACATTTCTCAAAAACTAATACGAGGTTATACAAATCAATTTCACTTATTCTCATAAAAAAATTATGTTCTCTTTCATATTTCATTAGCTTCCATGTAATTTATAAAAGGTAGTACAAAGTCAGGAACTCATCCAAAAGAGTTAAAATATTGAGAAAAGTATGAGTTTAATTTTCAGGTGTTACCCTCCTCTTATAACTAGTAAACAAGGGATGTCTTCAAACCTCT